GTTAAGCAAGGACTACCCATAATGCCTTTTTAAAAAGAAATTATGACTATAGTTAAGGCAGGATTTTTAATAAATCAAAATTATAATTTTCATCCCAAATTATTTGGTTTCTTGTCCTTTCAGTTGGAGTTGTCTTAAAACTGACATAACTTTGCTAGAATTAAATGTTGTACAGTGTTTTTCCTACAGCCATAAATTTGTTCTGCACTGGTGACCAGCAGTCTTGCTTCAAAAGTATCCTACAGTCTGCTACGTTTGGCCAAAGTTGAAGAGTGTGAAGGACAGTATTACAAGTCATGTGTTACATCAATAAGGGAGATCACTCAAGACACTGAAGTGCCAGAGGACAAAAAAAGTTGGAAATGGGTGACTTGCTGAACAGAGTAGAATAAACTTCATTACATGCTGATCATTGAGGCATATTCCTCAAAGCACTCTGAACAAAGAAAAGTAAGTACATGTATGTGTGTGTGTTTTTGTATGATATCCATATCCATTAGCTGGTTAACATATAGTTTAACATACACGGCTTGACAGTTTTACATTTAGAACATATGCACATTTGAGTAACTTGGGTGTTCTTTATCACAGCATGTGGCTTGTGTGTTCTCCTTGCTTAATCATTTCTAACTGAAGTTGTGGTTAGGGGAGTGGGTTTATATCCTTGAGGTTAACTGGAGTTTATTTTGCTCTGCAGGCTAAGGTAGATGTCTTGTTTATTCAAAGCATATATTTTATTAAGAATGTTGCCAACATATAATCACTAAAAGCCTAAGAGTGAGTGAGTGAGTGAGTGAGTGAGTGAGTGATGAAGTGTGTGTGCATATGTATATGTGTGTGTGTATGATAAAAGATTAAAATTTCCCCACACAACATTGACGTGACATGAGTATGTTGGCACTGCTGAGTCAGATGTTGATCAGAGCGCAAAAAAAATAGTGGCAATTAAGTTGAGGACTTCATTATACCAAGGCTAAATTGCAACCACTAAGCATAAGACCAGCTCAACAACAGGAGTTCGCCACATCAAAGCTCAATCAGCAAGCCACAGTGTGCCCAATAAAACAGATTGCCCTCTATCTCGTATGGAGTGACACAGATGCTGTTGTGGCAGCCCTTTGCTCTGCTCTTCCCAGAAAGCAAAAACTTGTGCAAGCCTAGATGTGTCTATACAAAATGAAGTCCTGTTGAATTGACTGGGGCTTAAGAATGCAGCCTCCAGGAAGTAAGAGATCCAAGAAGACACAAGAATGTTCATGATGGACTGTAAATATACAAATAAATAGACACAAGGATGCAGCAGGTGAAGGGAAGAAACTTATCTAGGAAAAATGTACTGAGAGAAGATTGTCCAGTAAGTGAAGCAAAAGGGGAAGACTGCAGGAAGAAAGAAAATTGCCAGGGGTGAGATTTTTTTATTTTTGGAAAGGTTCAAAAGGAATCATGTTTGCTGACTTAGAGTACACAGACTTTTAACACTAAAATGTTCTTGTGTTTCCAGGCATGTCTGCCATAAAAAAGGATTCCAAATCCATTTTAAGTGTCCCAGGTACAACTTTATAAATATAAAGAATTTGCTTGAAATTTGATTATTAAAGTGACGTGCAAAAATATTTTCTTGTGAAGGTAGAATGGAAATACTGATTTGTTTTTAAATTTCTTTTAAAACTCTAAATTCTCAGGAGAATATTGTAAACCTAGAAAGGCTGTGTAGGTCCAGCTATTTCCCCTATTTTCATCTTCTCAAAATTAGCTGATAGCACATGGATAGCACATTCCAGTTCCTGCTTTTAAATCTTGCCATCTTATGGGACCTAGAGAGTGTGCCTCTTCTGCGGTTGCCCGTTCTCTGGAAGGATCTCCCCCGCCCAGATAAAAGATAGGCCCCAACTCTGCTCACCTTTAGGAAAACCGTTAAGACCTGGCATTAGGGGCCCAGTTGAATGAGAGTCCCCTCTTGCTTGTTTTGTTATGTTGCTTGGTCACCATTTTATATTTATATATTGTTTAATGTTATATGGTGGGGGTTTTCTTTTTTCTTTTGTTTATTGTTTGTTTGTTTGTTTGATGCTGTGCGCCACCCAGAATCACACTGTTTGAGCTAGGCAGCCTTATAAGATTTATTTATAAATAAATAAATAAACGTATGACAACAGTGCCAGAATTAACATCTCTTCACTTCAATAAAAGTAAGCTGCATCTTTTTTCCTGGTTAGTGCAGCTGCTTCCTAAGTTACTTCTGGCTGCCTCTGCAAGGTGTGCGAAGTGGCTGTGTGTGCATACGCATGCAGAGATAGTCAGGAGCAACTTACGAGACCGCTGAGCAAACCTGGAAAAAAAATGCTTTATAGATTCAGTGGTGTTTCACCCAGTAGAAAACCTACAAGCAGTAGAATACCAGTAAGCCATCAAGTTCTCCTTACAGATTTACTTACAAGGGAATATACGTACTGCCTTGTGTATCTCTCTATTACATACGTTGTAGAGACACAATGCTAAGACGGATTACCACAAGGTAAATCCAATTAGAAGATCATTTCCAAAACTGATAAGGCTTATCAAGCTATTAATCCAATCCAATTTTAACTGGTTATATTTCAGACCAGTTAATTTTTAACATAATCTGTTAAACTAAAAATAGCACATTGTTGTTTATAACATGTACAAATAAGGCCATCACTTGGTTAAAGAAGTCTTATGAATCATATGAGCCTTAATCAAATCAGTTGAGTAAATCTAAATGTATCTGCATGGGATTTACACAAAGACATGAAGAAAGCACTTTGTTTTATTTTTAAGGATTCCAGCCCTGTTGGAGCAAATATTTTAGATGAAATATGAGTGTCACTTTATCAAATAGGCTCAGTAACTTTTATTTTACACTGGCACTGAACCAATGCATGTTGCTTCACTGCTGGCATGTCTTAAGCAAAATGTTAGTTGATCTGTCTTATTTATATAAATTATTTAGCTACCATGGATTTCAATATCAGAAATTACTATTTTATGAAAATGTTGAGAATTATCTGTAAGAGAGTCTTATAAAATTATCACTGCCATTAAAAAAAAAAAAACAGAGCAATGGGACCTCCTTATATAATATCATCCAAGCATCACTGTGGTGATATATCATTAATGAAAACAAAGTATACTGTATATCGCTATAGCAACGACACTGTATGTCAATAGTGTAAAATGCTATAATTGAATTCCATGCGATTAGAAGTTCCTTCAGTACTCACATACTCTGGTTGCCACTGGAAACGATCTTTTTCCTCACTTCCTGGTTTATTAATACATATCATCCATCTACATGGTCAACCTGCCTAGTCATTCTCTTGCTCCTGATGAAGTTGTGGCTACTCAGCAATGCCTTGTTTTTCCCTGGAGCTACCATATGCTCAGTGGTAGGACTTATGTCATCTACTTATCCTTATCTCATCCAGACCACATTGTGCCATCAATTGTGCACAAAACCATCCTTGGATATCATACTAATATATTTCATGGCTACAGTTGCAACTGACCTCTATTTCACTTTCATTTCATGAAGTCTCCTTCAAGTCTAACTCAACTCATGATGACTTCATGGGCACATCCATGTAGTTTTCTTGACAACAGTGGAGAAGTTATTTCCACTGATCATGTGCAAAATGTTTTTCAACTTCCAGTTTCACCTATCGTCCTAGTATTTCCAGGTGGTCTCCAAACCAAGTACTAATCAGATCCAATCCTGCTAAGTTTTCAAGATCAGCCGTGGTTGGCTAAGTGCTGCTATCTAGCTGGGCTTCATTGCATAGATATATATTCTTATCAGCAGTAGTCAGCTTTCTTCAACAAGTTCACTAGCCAGAATGGGAATTATGGGAGTTGTAGTCCAACATATCTGATGGGCAACAGATATAAACAGAAATTTCTACTAATCTCCAGAACCAGGACCCAGAAGGTTTGGGGGGAACGAGGTCAAGTTTTCACTAGAGTCCTCATACCAGATAACATCCAGGGAACAAATCAGCCATTTCAATTACCACTGATGTTTTCTGTGGGCATTTCTCTCACAATTGAGTACATATATTTGATAGATCCATTGTGTTATGCTTACTCCCATATTAGTGCATACAGGAGTTCACCTTTAAGCTTCTATTATTTGTAAAATATAATGTATGGACACAAATAAATATGAACATTCTTTAGAATTCACCATTTGATTAATTCATCATAAATACCTATCTGCAATTGGCATTATGAGATTATAAATCTTAGGTTGTATCTTTTCAAAAATATACAAAGAAAAAATACAGATTGCTCAGTGACATGCACATATTAGATATATATAAGATTTTTTTTATCATTACAAATATTTGTGCCAAATTAGGCAAATTTAATTGCCCCAGATCAAATACATCTTTATGAACAGAAATAGATGTTAATGTTAGATGCCATTGACAAATAAATTATAAAAGAATATAAACAAATATTATAAAGAGTTGCTGGGTTAAAAAAAATACAAACATGTTTAAGTTTCGCTTTAAATGTTCTTTTCTTAATATTAGCCAAGCTACTCAGTGCATTTATATGTGTTTCCATCAAATACCAAAAAGCCAAAAGTTGTGTCTATACATAGTTAAGCAATGCATGTATTGACAGATTTTGATCAGCGATAGGTTTAAAATATCAGATCCCTAATAACTTTTCAGCATCTTCTTTGATCAGTGCTCATCCCTGTATCTTGGCATAAATCACACCTTGCCACTGTAGTCTTATCATACAGATCCAGATCCAAAGCTACATTTGGCCTACATTTCTTTTCAGATGAAATGGTTCAGAAAACATCACTAAGCCAAGAGATCTAAAGGGTATTTTCCTTCCTTTTCTTTTTTAAACATATAGGACGTATACCAGGAGTCAGGAGAGAGTAAAAAAAAAAAAAGAGACAGATGGTAACATATTGAGATGGGGGGAATGGATGACAAGAGCAGCAGTTTTCCAAGCCAACTCACCTCTCTCAGCTGCTCCAGCTCCTGTTTGAGGACATCATATTCAGCTTCTAGCTCATCATACTGCTGTTTAAGGGTGAGCTTCTCTTCCAAGACCACCAACCCATATTCAGCTGCTTGGATCTTTTCATGGGTTGTCTCTGTCAGCTCTTTGGTCAGCCGCTCAATCTCGGATTTATAGTGATCCACGGTCTCCAAGACCTCTTCTGCAGCCATAGCTTTGGAAGATGGTGGTGGCGGGGGAGGGGGGGAGGAAAGGGAGAGAGAGAGAGATAGAGAATGAGAGAAAGAAAGAAGGAGGGAGACAGCTGGAAAGAAGGGGAAGGGGGAGAGGGAAGGATGAAGGCAGCCACCAGATGGAGGGATGGACAGCAGTTCTCCCGGAGATGAGCCAGCTACCTCAGTTTAAGGCCAAGGGAGAGGATGGCATGCAACATGAAGAAGTGGGCATAAGGGAAGGGAGTCCAAGGCTCCCCAAGGCTGCTGCACCAGTTGTCCTTCGGCCGCTCTACTTCCGGACAGCATAACTGCGCTGTGGAAGGAGGAAGAGGAGAAAACGGGGGTGCCCTTTTACTTTCCCTCCCCCCACCCCCGCGCTTAATTTTTTGCTTATTCAGAGGCACCGGTCCGCCATGTCTCCAGGGCAGCTTCACCGCAGTCTCTCTCAACTGTCCACCTGCTCTCCCTCTCCCGGCGGTCGCCGCCCAGATCTGTGCGTCATCAGCAGAAGGGGGGGGGGGGGGGGGGGGAGGGAAAGTAAA